CCTCTTCTCACTAGCTGCCCACTTGTGTAATCATTTGAGGTGAATAGAAAGACAAAAGAGGTAAATCTAAATTTACCATTTGAACTAATAATAATGTACATTGGAGGTGAAGGCACTAGAAATGGAAGCAGTGTGATTTCAAATTACCTGTGACATTTATCCATCTCTCTGGGACCCTGTATTCCATATAACTAAAATTTCACTGCAATATAAATAATGTCAACAAGGTCTTGGGCATAATGAAATCTAATAAAGATCAGCTGGAGTCAAGACTTATGAAGTCTGGCTCCAGCCTAAATATCACAGATTGAAACTGAACTTCTCTTCTTGGTGGCAAGAACTTCTGGGTAAGTTAATTTGTATCTCGTGTCTCTGCCTACTGTCTAGAAAAGCCCAAAATATCTCATTTCTGCCAAATAAAATGTGTTATCATGCTACACGCACTACATAGCTTTAAAGTTACCTCACACTTAAGTATCTTTTTTCAGGCCCACAGCTGTGCATACTGCAAAACACATACTTCAAGGGACCCCCAGTCTTTGTGCATGATGGCGTACGCAGTAATCTTAATTGCTTTTATGATGCATAAGTTCCAAAAGGGGAGAATTTCTTTTTAGAGGTTTTTTTGCTTTAGCGTTCAGGCACTCACTGAAGAGAGGTATAGAGACAGAGACAGTAAGAGGGAAAGTGAGATATCGCCTCCCAGTGCGGAGGGCCATGCTGCAATCCCTTCTCCTCTATTCTCCTCTTGGGATCTTGGGCACGTGCACACGTGCTCCAGCATGATTTTCAAGTCATCGAATCCAGGACTTGAACTGCAGTTAACAATATAGGTGTCCAGCAATGTCATCATATGCCATCTACTGGCCCTGAGGGTTTTTTTTTCTTTAATATTCACCATTGTACCCCAGAACTTAGAAGATTAATAGGAATTTAGTAAACAGTGAATAAATATTTGTCTTTATTCCTTCCAGAACGAATAAACACATGGATAAAGTGTTGCAATTTAAATTCAACATCCAAGGTTTTTTTTAGCTACAAGCCCAGTAATTATATTTACTAATTAAGAGCAACAGCAAGTATTCTGGCAAATATAAATATAATAAGGAAAGTATGTTTGAAATTATAGCTCTCCTAGAAATACATATGGTCATCATAATTGTAACCTATTAAACTAAATAACTTGGGCAATATTTTCATAAAAAATATGTTTATTAGAAACATTTGTTATTATCCTAAAAATATTGTTAATGTGAATATCCAAAGTTACCTTAAAAATAAAACATTTATCCTTCTGGGCTTGCTCCAGGTTTGATCAAGTACAGACAAATAGGTCTCTTATTCTCTGCAAAGTGTATAAGTAGCTTAAGGATGAAAAAAAAATTTTTTGGGGCATAATGAAATCTAATAAAGATCAGCTGGAGTCAAGACTTATGAAGTCTGGCTCCAGCCTAAATATCACAGATTGAAACTGAACTTCTCTTCTTGGTGGCAAGAACTTCTGGGTAAGTTAATTTGTATCTCGTGTCTCTGCCTACTGTCTAGAAAAGCCCAAAATATCTCATTTCTGCCAAATAAAATGTGTTATCATGCTACACGCACTACATAGCTTTAAAGTTACCTCACACTTAAGTATCTTTTTTCAGGCCCACAGCTGTGCATACTGCAAAACACATACTTCAAGGGACCCCCAGTCTTTGTGCATGATGGCGTACGCAGTAATCTTAATTGCTTTTATTATGCATAAGTTCCAAAAGGGGAGAATTTCTTTTTAGAGGTTTTTTTGCTTTAGCATTCAGGCACTCACTGAAGAGAGGTATAGAGACAGAGACAGTAAGAGGGAAAGTGAGATATCGCCTCCCAGTGCAGAGGGCCATGCTGCAATCCCTTCTCCTCTATTCTCCTCTTGGGATCTTGGGCACGTGCACACGTGCTCCAGCATGATTTTCAAGTCATCGAATCCAGGACTTGAACTGCAGTTAACAATATAGGTGTCCAGCAATGTCATCATATGCCATCTACTGGCCCTGAGGGTTTTTTTTTCTTTAATATTCACCATTGTACCCCAGAACTTAGAAGATTAATAGGAATTTAGTAAACAGTGAATAAATATTTGTCTTTATTCCTTCCAGAACGAATAAACACATGGATAAAGTGTTGCAATTTAAATTCAACATCCAAGGTTTTTTTTAGCTACAAGCCCAGTAATTATATTTACTAATTAAGAGCAACAGCAAGTATTCTGGCAAATATAAATATAATAAGGAAAGTATGTTTGAAATTATAGCTCTCCTAGAAATACATATGGTCATCATAATTGTAACCTATTAAACTAAATAACTTGGGCAATATTTTCATAAAAAATATGTTTATTAGAAACATTTGTTATTATCCTAAAAATATTGTTAATGTGAATATCCAAAGTTACCTTAAAAATAAAACATTTATCCTTCTGGGCTTGCTCCAGGTTTGATCAAGTACAGACAAATAGGTCTCTTATTCTCTGCAAAGTGTATAAGTAGCTTAAGGATGAAAAAAAAATTTTTTGAGAGGTTTTCGCTATAGGGTGCGTGTGCTCGCCAGACAGACAGAGAGAGACATAGAGACAGAAAGCGAGAAATCACCCCCCAGGGGGGATGGTCACGCTGCAATCCCTTCTCCTCCATTCTCCTCTTGGGATCTTGGGCACGCACGCACACACGCCCGGCGTGAGTTTTAAGCCACCGGGTCCGGGACACGAACCGCGGTCGACTACGTGGGAGTCCAGCGACATAGGCATTACGCTAACTGCTGGTTCCCATGGATGAAATTTTGTGAGTATCTTATCAATGACATTAATAAGTAATATAGCTGATGACCCTAATTTTAAAGTCAATATATTGCTAAACTAAAAATACTGATAGTGGCTCGCCCAGCCAAATATCCTGAGCTGTAACCAGAAAACTTTAGGACATAGAAGTAAGCCTGGACCAATAGTTTCAAGAAGGTTGTTATATTAGCAAAATATCTGTGTTTATAGTTTTGTCTCAACTCTGGGTTCAGCCAATATCTAAAAGTCGATCCAGTAGCTATACATCTTAAGGGAACTCCCATCCCTTTTTTTTTTTTAATTTGTCACAGGACATATATGCTCATTTAAAGCAACTCTTCGTTATTTAACAGGTAGAAACAAGAAAATGAAGGGACAAATTACAGAGCTTAGGCTTAATTTCTAGCAAAAAATTAAGATGCAGAATTTTATATACTAGAGAAATTAGCAAGCTCACCAGCAAGGTACCTAAAAAGCCATGCAATGATGTGGAATAGTGCAACTTGGGGAGAAAGGAGCTAGGAAAATGATTGCCTACAGAACTCCTCTATGGGGGATTAAATAACCGAGCTGCCCTCAGTTATTTAAGATCTAGCCAGCACCATCATGGAAGAGGAATTAGATATATTTTGAGTAGTGCAACAAAGTTTAAGTTTTCCTGTTGACCTAGGAGATCCCAGGATCAATGAGTTGAAGAAATAAAGGAGACAGATTTTGCTCAACATAAAGAAGTGCTTTGAGAAAACCAGATCTCCTAAGGAGCATGGGCTGGGTTGTTCAGCAAATCATGATGCCACCCAGGAAGTGTGATCTAGAGGAAAATAGACAGGTAGTTTCCAGAGTATTTTACAGATTCCAAGGGGTTCTACAGCATCTCCCTGAGAGAAGCAAAAGCAAGGGGCTCAAGACTCCTACCCCAGTTTCCTTCCAATCTGTTTTTTACTGAGCTTCTACATAGGAAATTCTGACTACAAAAGCAATTTGGGGCAGCTGTTCTGTGCCATATTGATATTGTTTTACTTCAAAATTTTAAAATGTGTTCAAAGTTTATACTTGTATGTAGAACATCCAAAGGGAAATGATTTTTACCATAAAAGATAAAACATTACCAGGGCCAGCTCAATAGCTTAGTGGTTGAAGGAGATAGAACTCACATGGCCAACTGTGGTTCCAATCCCAATCTCAGCAGCTTGAAGAACATGTCAAGCAGGGACCAGCAGTTAGCGTAATGGCTATGTCGCTGGACTCCCATGTAGTCAACTGCGGTTCAAGTCCCAGACCCGGTGGCTTAAACTCACACTGCAGGCGTGTGCGTGAGAGCCCAAGATTCCGAGAGGAGAGTGGAGGAGAAGGGATGGGGGCCTGGCCACACCCCCTGGGGAGTGATTTCTCGCTTTCTGTCTCTCTGTCTCTCTCTGTCTTTCTGGCAAGCTCACGCACCCTATAGCAAAAACCTCTCCAGAAAAGAAAAAAAAAAAAAGAACATGTCAAGCATACATGTGTATGCATGCATGCCCCAGATCCTGACAGTATGGAGAAATAATGATTGTGGCATGACCACATCCCACTAATGCCTTCCCATTATCTCTCTCTCTTGTTCTTTCTCTCTCTGGCAATTTAAACAAAAATTTTAAAATGGGGGAAAAGAAGAAACATTACTGAAACTCAGGATTATAGGAATACTTAAAATTAAGTGAAATTTGTTTCAAACCAATCTCCAAATAAGGCAGTATACTTAGGAGTCACTGGCTTTGAACATACACTTAAGTAAACTTTTGAAATCTCACTGGACTTCAGATTCCCTTTTTTTTTTTTTTTTTTTTTTTTTTTTTTTTTTTTGCCATAGGGCTTGTATGCTCACCAGAGAGAAAGTGAGAAGTCACCTCCCCACCAGGGGGATGGCCATGCACATCCCTTCTCCTCCATTCTCCTCCCTGGATCTTGGGCACACATGCACACACACCCAGCATGAATTTAAGCCACTGAGTCCAGGAATCAAACTGTAGTCAACTACATGGGAGTCCAGCGACATAGCCATTATGCCAACTGCTGGTCCCTCAGCTTCCTTTTCTATAAAACATAAGGATAAAGTACATTTTACAAGAAGCTCAAAGGTCATTAAGAAGATCAAATAAGATAATAAATGTAAACAATACACAATTTTCCAGCAATGTGTTTGCAAAATCTACATATGTTCATAATTACTCATTCCTTGTTTATGTCTATTGTTCTAACAGCTTTGGAAACAGAACAGAACAGAACAATGCATTCTGTGACTGAATTTGTCCTCCTGGGTTTCCACGGTCAAAGGCAGATGCAGAGTTTCTTCTTCTCATTAATCCTAGTTCTCTATTTCCTGGCCCTGCCGCGGCAATTGTCTGTGCAGTGAAATGGGAGAAGCGGCTCCACACACCCATGTACATCCTTTTAGGAAACTTTGCATTTCTGGAAATCTGGTACGTTTCCTCCACTGTCCCAAACATGCTGGTCAATATTCTCTCTGAGACTAAGACCATCTCCTTCTCTGGCTGCTTCCTCCAATTCTATTTCTTTTTTTCACTGGGTACAGCAGAATGCTTCTTCTTATCAGTTATGGCTTATGATCGCTACCTGGCCATCTGTCGCCCACTACACTACCCCTCCATCATGACTGGGCAGCTCTGTGTAATCCTGGTCTGTGCATGCTGGGTGGGTGGATTCCTCTGCTACCCAGTGCCCATTGTCCTTATCTCCCGACTTCCCTTCTGTGGACCCAACGTCATTGACCACTTTTTGTGTGACCCAGGCCCATTGTTTGCACTCGCCTGCGTCCCTGCACCTTCCACTGAACTTATCTGTTACACCGTCAGCTCAATGGTTATCTTTGGGCCCTTCCTCTCCATATTGGGATCTTACACTCTGGTTCTCAGAGCTGTGCTTCGTGTTCCCTCTGGTGCTGGTCGAACTAAAGCTTTTTCCACATGTGGGTCCCACCTAATGGTGGTTTCTCTATTCTATGGGACCCTGATGGTGATGTATGTGAGCCCAACATCGGGGAACCCAGCAGAAAAAAAAAACAGAAGACTGTCACTTTAGTATACTCAGCAGTAACTCCACTCTTAAATCCCATTATCTATAGTCTCCGAAACAAAGATATGAAAGAAGCCCTAAAGAAAGTCTTGGGATTGAGACGTCTTTGAAAGAGAAGCTGAGTCAGTCACTTCTCACCTTAGTTATTTATAAAAACAAAGGAGCATGTCTTCAGTAAATTGTTTTGGTCCACACATAAGTAGAAGAAGAGACATAAATAAAGAAATAAATAAAGGAGACAATCCCTTTCTCTTCCAAGTTCACAATCCCTCAGCAGTTCAAGTTCACCTCATCAATAACAAATGGTCAATAAACGTTTTGGGATTTTTTTTTTCATTTTGTTTTATTTTTGCTTCAAAGTGCATGTGCTCTCTGCAGAGTGACAGAAAGACAGAAAGAGGGAGGAAAGTGAGTAAGCACCCCCAGGAGAGATGGCCACGCCACAATTCTTTCTCTTCCATTCTCTTCTCAGGATTTGTGGACACACATGCACACACGCCTGACATGTTTTTCAAGTCACTGGGTCTGAGACTTGAACCATGAAGTTGACCATCTGGGATCTAGCTGCCTTAACCACCATGCTGCTGGGTGACCCTCAGTAAAGCATTTCACACATCTATAGCCTAAAGAGAGATATTGTATAAGGGTTTATCCACTCAACTCCACAAAGGCTCTGGGCATGCCATGGCATCTCAGGCACCCAGCACACACCGTGTCTGCAGCCAAGATGCCCAAGAGGAAGGTCAACTCAGCAAAGACAGTGACCAAGGAAGAGCCCAACAGGAGATCGGCAAGGTAGTCGACTCAACCTGCTCCTGCAAAAGTGGAGATGAAGCCAAAAAAGGTGGCAGGGAAGGAGAAATCTTCAGGCAAAATTATATGGCATTATTTTGTATAAATATATATACATACTTGATCGTTGAGCAATGTGGGCATGAGGAGCACCAGTTCTAACAAGGTCAAAACTTGGTGTGTAACTTTGGACTCCTCCAAAACTTAACTACCTATAGCCTCCTGTTAACCTGAAGTCTTACTGATAACATAGCACATATTCTGTATATTATATGTGTTAATACTGTATTCTTACAATAAAGCAAGCTAGACAAATGAAAATGCTATTAAGAAAATCATAAGAAAGAGAAAATGCATCTATAATACTGTATTTTTCAATGTATTTATGGAAAAAATTCATTTATAAGTGAACAGTTCAAACCCATGTTGTACACGGATCAGCTACATAGGTACTGTATATATCTATATAGATATTTAAGTATATTCTTTTTCTGTGACGTATCTTTGCCAGTTTTAATCCTAGCTGGTAAAAGGAATCAATTGCATGTGTATCTGACTTTGCAACAGAGTATAATCTTTCAAATTCAGAAAATAAACATCCTTAAAGACAATGAGTCAAGAGGCCACCAACAAATGAATAAATAAATAAATAAATAAATGCCTAGTAATGGACATCGTTCGAGACTCTCTTTCGCACCAGAAACAGAGCATGCGTCACCCTGCTATGCTGCACCTCTCTGTCACTTAGAGATAAAGTACACATTTCTTTCCGCCATTCAAAACTCTCTCTCAATAAACTGCTCCGTTCATCTCCTCACCTACTGCTCTACTGTGTAAGTCCACACTTCGTGGTGATCAGTTCTCTTACTTTACTTTTTACATTTGACTTTAAATACATTTACCCACAACTGACTACCTTTACTCATAGTGCTTCCTCCCAAGTCGACTGTGACAACCCAGTGCCATTTGCAATATGGAATAACCACGTCCTCAACATATTTCTATTTGCTAGCAGAGCATGTCACCGCAGGGCAGCGTGGGCCTCTCAGATGTCTATAGGGCAAAGTCTCATTCAGAAAAGGATACAGAGAACAAATTCCATGTTTTTACCCAGATTCTATACTGAAATAGGCCATCATCTGAGAGGCCAATATACTTCAAATGAGAATATACCCCTGAGTTATTCATGGCCACTTTACAATGAAATTAAGTGTCTAAAAAGATGGGCCTGCTGGTGCTAAGCAACAAAATGGTCTAGTAACAGTGTTCCTCAATTATCCCTACCAAAATTGTTTGGCAACAGGAGTCAGAGAACAAGGGCATTGGGGGAACTATTTCTTTAAATTCAATTTTCATCTTAAAAGTTATAAATTATAACTTATAAATTATACTTTTTAGTGTGTATATTTGTTTTTTTGGGGGGGGTTAATGTTTTATTGAATCAAAATTTTTTCTTTTTTTTTTCTTTTTTTTACATTTTTCCACATTTACTTTACATATCAAAAAAATTGTGCTGGCGCGCTCGGGCCTAGGGGTGCGGCGGGCAGGCAGCGGCTCC